GGGGGCGAGAGAGAGAGAGAGAGAGAGAGAGAGAGAGAGAGAGAGAGAGAGAGAACTGAAAGCATAGACCGATTATGATATAGGACGCCTAGACAATCAATGACCGTTCTAATGACGTAGCTACAGGTGCAGGTTAACCCTATCCGTACGTCGTCTCTTAATATCGAATCCATACGACGTTGGGAACTCTGTGCCACCACTTTCCAAAGAGGAAATTTACTCATTTGTCCGATCCGTACGCTTTGCATAGCACTCTGTCAAAATGATTTTTTTAAGAAACACTGAAAGTTTCAAAGAGATCTTCGTACTACAAGTATTCTCAAATGTGAAGAATACAACCCCGGGGGTACAAAATGACCCCTGGGCGTACGGATAGGGTTAAAAACCAATTCGCCTTATTGTTCAGTAGAAATTGTATTATAACAAAACTACAGATACCACTATTTTTACACAAAAAAACTACCTCTTAAAATAGTATCAAACGCGTAGTAGACTCTAACCTTGATGTTGCCTCTTGCGTTTTTAACGTCTTCTTTATATTTGATATCTCAAATAAATGAGAACGATCCTGCAGAAAGCAACCTTTGGTGTCACACATTCATCAGCACTCTTATCTAATTTTAATAATAAATCACAGTCCAAGTGTGCATGTTTATGAGCATCACGATTTTAGCTTTTCTCTGTGTGATTTCGTTCAATTCTGTTAAAATTCTGCTGTTCGTTCGGTACCTGATACATTTCTCTCGGTGCAGGTCGGCTTGTTCAGTCCACTCGCTGTAGTTTATTCCTTGTTGTCTCGATGTAGTACGTTCAATAAGGTCGCATGGGAAGAAACGCTTACAAAAAAAATATGAAACAGGATTAATAATAAATCCGAACTGCAAGAGACTTGAAAATGATAAGAGATGCCCCGGAAAATAATAAGAGCTGAAAAGAGATATCGAAAATATGAGTGCGTGTCTGGGAAGATTGGGTGTGAGGAAAAGGAAACACCGGTCTCGTGGGAGCGGGTGTGGAGTGGTTGAGTGGGAGGTGATACAGAGCTGATCTCCTCCATCATTCAGAATTCGAAAATAAGATTTTAAAAAGATTTTTTAAAAAGAGGCCTCACAAAGTTTCAGATAGAAAAGTGGGCAGCATTTTTGTGCTAGCCCTTTATACACTTGGGAGAGGGTCCTAATTTGGTGAAAAAAGAAAAACAAACCGAGAAAAACATAGTTCCACAGTAGAGTTCGTGTACTTTGTCACACGTAACTTCGGGCGGTTATTTCCCCTTTTAATACTCTTTTGTTGTTGTTTGTTTCTTCATTTCTTTGTACTCTTCTATTGGGACGTTGTGACTGGCTGGCTAAGAGAATCGTACTCTGAGACTGATGAGATAATATCATATATAACAAGCCTTGTTCTGTAAACAGAAGCAGTTCGTCTTGTTCCACAGATTGGATTGGGTTTCTTCCTTCCCAGTTTCAAATCTGAAATATTGTAATTTGTCTGGCACTGACTTGATGAAGTAAAGAAAAACAGCAATATGTAAGAGATTTTCGTCGGGTTTTGATAGCTGATAAAGGCAAACATTTGCCAAAAATGCGTAAAGAAGTACATTGGGGGTTTTTTTCTTTTTAAACTGCTATTACAAGAGCATTGGGTAGGTTATGATTTCGTTTGGGGTTCAGCTGAAATAAAGAACAGAAAGAACATGGGGGAACAAGTTTGGAACTAACTTTTATTTTTTATTCAAGGCCCTCCTAAACACATGAAGGCGTCTTGTGAAAGTGGATACCTTTCCACAGGTCTTGTTTTGCTCTTCTTTTTTAAAAAAAATATTTTTTGTTCGGTTGGGGGGGGGAGGG